TTATAGAGAGCAATCATAACTTACTTCGTTTCATTTGGTTAGGCTAAAGAAGCCAAGTTCTGTTAGTCTCTTTTTGAAAGGGAGCGTTTCCATTCCTGTGAGCATACCACTAGACCTTCTCTGTACCTTGTCCATGGATACATCTTTCTTAAGCATAACAGACCAAAGGTGCACATAGCATTCCGGTTCAGGTCTCATCAGTTCCTTCTATAATGTCAATAATACTTCCCTGTCTCTACTGGAAATACCTTACCTGATGCATCCTAGCACTGAATTAGCTTTTTTCAAGGTCACATCATATAGTCATCCCGTGATGAAGCAAAGCACCTCATCTCTTGCATTCAACTGATACATTCCCAACGTATAGCAAAATATTGCAAAGTTTATGACATACTGTATTGCTGTTAACTTTTGCTTCTTCTGTCTGTATGTTGTAACCATCTGTTAGCAAAACCAGGTTAATGAGGTAATATCTTTTATTGGTCAACTTCTGCTGATATGAGAGACAAGCTTTTGGCCTGAAGAAGAGCTCTGTGTGGCTCTCAAGTTTCTCTTACTACAGAAGCTGACCCCAATAAAAGATATTACTTCACCCACCTCATCTCTGCGATATCATGGGACTGACATGGTTACAATTATACTGTTGTCTGTCATTTTATATTTAGGTTGTAAGCTATGTTGCTGTGATGTGTATGTTGTGCCTTGCAAAATGGGGCCCAGTCTCTGATTAGGAGCAGTTATAAATATCACATAGGGTGGTTCTATGTTTTGCTGCAATCTTGTCTAAACAGAAGTGTAAGTATCCCTAGTACCCAGTCTTCTGAATCCAAAGCCAAAAATTACTTTTTCAGGGATGTGCTCATCTGATTAAGTAGGTTTTGCCCAGGAAAGCTCGTGATTTTATATATATATTTGTTAGTCTCTACAGGAGACTACAGCATAGGAAGTTCTGGTCCTTTCCTGCAGGTGCTGCTCCTGAAGCTCCTATTGATAGGCAGTGGAGTGCTATGGCCAGTGGAGGCTGTGGGGTGGGGCCTGTTGTGGATGGGGGGGTGCATTCCAGGTGCTTTTGCTGGTGGTGGGGGGACCGGGGTGGGGGTCTGCCTTGACTCTGCTGCTGTCTGTCCCACTGCTCCCAGGGTTGGTAGCCACCAGACCGCCAACACAACTGATAAGGGATGACCTGAAGGCAGAGAGGTGGGGAGGTTCCACTGTATAAGGGTTGTCCTGAAGGTAGAGTGGTGAGATGGGCTCCTGCATAGCTCAGGGGATAGGGCATTCACCTGGGGAGCCGCAGGGGACTAGTTCTAGAGCCCTGCCCCGGGAACCCCTGGACCGCTAACAAAGGATATAAGGGCTGACCTGACGGTAGAGAGGTGTGTGTGTGTGTGTGTGTGTATACATATACGCACACACACAGGACTACTCATTTTTTCCAGGAATTGTTTTCACATTAATATAATTCTCTGAAATTTTCTCCTTGTCCTCAAAATATCAGGTATTGATATTAATTATTAACATATTTTTCATGATTCTTCAATATCACCTGCTTGGTGCTTGCAGCCTATGGCATTTTTCAGCAAGCAGGTTTAAACTGTAGGCAGGCACTGGGAGGAGGAGGGTACCCTAAATACAAGGGAAAATGCAAGTTAATAAAATTTGCAATATGCCTTTTTCATCTAGGAATTTCAAGATAAAATATACTTTAATATTATAGAAATTGATAAATGCTAGAGTAATTTACATTATGGAAGATACTGAATGCAACAAATTATTGTAGATGACTATTTCTTAAAGCACACACTTGTGGGTCATGAACTACAAAGAAATAGGAGATGAAGTTGAAATTTTCAATTCTGTAAGATAATAAACAAAAATAGTTGTTTTTAAGAAGTTCCCCATTTTAGGAGAAGAGGAGAACTTATGATAGATGATCATTCTCAAGGATATGTATACACAGTCAAAATAATTTAACATTGGCTGGCAACTAACATAGGTTCATCAGAGCAATTTATGCCACAAAAAGAGAAGGCAGATATTTCAAATGGAAGGAATTGGGAGAAGGAGAAACAGACTAAGAAGTTAGATTATAAAGCAATATTTTGGATTGATAAAAATATTTTTCTCAAGCTACAAATAATATACAATCAATGCTGTGTGAAATAGAACTAGAAAATAAATAAATCAATTTTAAAATAAATTATACAGTTATGCCCCAAAAAAGCAAAAGTGTGTTTTAATTGTACTGCCTTCATACGTGAACTTTCAGATGTATACTGGAAAAGCAGATTCTACACTGATAGTGTATCCCTAGTTCTAGTCAATTTCAGTGAGTTTGGCATGTGCAAAGAACGCAGAACTATTATTATTAAGTAATCCATTAAGTGATCCCGTCCCTGTTGTTCATTCCTAATTTCAGGCATATAGAGGCTAGGAACACCATCCCTGGTCACAGTGACTGATGCATCTATCCTCCATGATTTTTTTAAATTCTTTTTTTAACCCTATTATAGTCTTGGCCTTCACAACATCCTCTTTCAAAGAGTTCTACATTGTGTAAAGAAATACTTCCTTTTGTTTGTTATTAATTTCATTTGGTGCCCCCCATCCCAGTTCTTGTAAATACAAGAACTGTCTGGGAGGTGTCACCAAATGCTTGCTTATTTGCTTTCTCTGTACCAGTCATGATTTTATAGACTTCTATCATATCCCCTGTCATCTTTTTCCAAGCTGAAAAGTCCCAGTCTTTATTGATCTCTCTTCGTATGGAAGCTGTTCCATACCCCTAATCATTTTTGTTGCCCTTTTTTTAACCTTTTCCAATTCCAATATATTTTAGAGATGGTGACCGCAACTGCATAGAACACAGTATTCAAGATGGGGGTATACCAAGGATTTATAGAGGCAATATTATTAAGAAAGGGATAGATAAGACAGAAAATCATTCCTAACCTTCTGTTCACTTTGACTGCAGCTGCATATTGAGTGGATGTTTCCAGAGAACTAGTCACAATGGCTCCAAGTTCTTTCTTGAGTAGTAACAACTAATTTAGATCCCATCACTTTTATATGTATAGTTTGGATTGTTATCCTATGTTCATTATTTTACATTTATCAACATTAAAATAACTGAATAGTTTTGCATCATCTGCAAATTTTGGCACCTCACTGTTTATTGAATGTGACTGGTCCCTGAACAGATCCTTGAGGGACACCACTCTTTGCTTCTCTCCATTTTGACGATGGACCATTTATACCTACCCTTTGTTTCCTATCTTATCTTTTAACTAGTTACAAATATATGAGAGGACTTTCCCCCACCTTTGGTGAGAGACCTTGTTAAAGGCTTTCTGAAAATCTAAATGCATTGTATCCACTAGATCAGGAGTTCCCAACCTGGGGTACACGTACCCCCAAGGGGTATGCGAAGCTTGTCAAGGGAGTACGGGGAATATTTGGTAAATAACTAGATTATCCTAAATGAAATATTCCAAAAGTAGTAGTGTTAGTAAAAAAAAGTTGTGGATTCTAGAGTCTAGAATTTATTTCCTTTCATATAGAATAGGGGGTACGGGAAGGTTTACTAAAAGCCAAGGGGACACGGGGGCCGAAAAAGGTTGGGAACCCCTGCACTAGATCACCTTTGTACACATACTTTCAGGTTTAAGACAATGAACCCAAAGTAAACAGATTCCCTTATGACTAAATGTAATACATTTAATTTAATACATAAAAAGAATATATTTAATAACTTTTATTTATTTATTTATTTTATTTAAAACATTTTACCCTGCCTTTCTATTTAAAATATTCAAAGTGACTTAACATTTTTTAAAACACGTGTGTGTGTGTGTGTGTGTGTGTGTGTGTGTGTGTGTGTGTGTGTAATTACAATATGAGATCCCAGGGGGACATAAAACCCTCTAAGGCATTTTGACATGAGGAACACACATGCACACAGACTCTCACACCAAAAAAACCACGAAGAAAAAGAGTTGCTTTAGCCTGGTGTCGAAACAATGCTAGCCCATAAAACTAGGCCCATATATAGCTGGAACATTCTGCTAAAACACTTTTTTTCTGCTAATGTGGAAATACTTAAGCAGCAGAGATAAAATATGCCCTTATAGCACAGTGTTCACATTAGGTATCTGTAAGTGGGACTGACAGATGATTGTTTTACTAGTAGCAATCCTGTTTTCACAAATCAGCAAGATAATTTACCAGGCTGATATCATGTCTGTGTAAGAACTATTGAATTGGTAATAACTCATAGGTACTAAAAAAGCTAAAAATGTCTCTGATTTTGGTATCAGTATGTTGAAACAAAATTTGTTTTTAGTAGACTAGCATGACTGGAAGGACATTATAAATGGTTATTGCAGTTAATAAAACAATTGATGTAGCATGAACATTTTTATCAGAGAACATCTTATGAATCATATCACTTAATATCTGACTTATTTTATACTTTATATTCTATACTCTTGCATTAAAAATATTGTATGAATTCCAATGAATTGTGCAGTTATGCTGTGGTGTTAATTTGTTGATGCTGTCCACATACACCTCTTACAGGGGTGGGTAATGATTGGCCTGTGGGCCAGACATGGTTTGCCAGAATTTGCCCTTACGAGCTGCCAGACTCCATATTTGACTGCAAGTATGGCTGCTTCCTGCAGCTGCTGTTGGCCATGGTGGTTGTTCCTTGCCAATGGGAACTGAAAACACTGGGTCGGGTGGGGCTACTGTTTCCCACAGCTCCCATTGACCAAGAATGGCAAAGCTCAAGCTAACAGGGGCTACAAACTGGACCTGCAGATAAATATAAGTATCTGGCGACCTGCCAGGGGCTAACCTTTGCAAACAGCATCCAACCTGCTGGATCATTATTGCCCACACCCTGGTCTACAATGTACCACCTTTATAAATTTTCTTTTTCATGGCATTAAGATTTGCTGTTGCGAATGTAAAAATATTTTTTTCTGTATATCTTGCAGGGAAAACTTGAGAGGGTCTTACACTTTTAATCCTCCAGTCAGTGATTGTCTTGGGACCATACTGCGGTGAATTGGTAAGTTTGTATTAGTTTGCTTATTACCTTATTCAGTTGAACTATTAATCTGTGATATGGCTTTTGAAATAGCAGTAGAGAGAGTATTCTGCCTATGTATTTGGTGCTTGTGCAATGGCTGCTGAAATATTATGTCTGCTTCTTAAGCATATTTGAAAATGGGAGAGGACCCATGAGAATGATCAAAGGATTAGGAAATTTGCCTCATAATGATACTCAGAGAGTTCATTCTGTGTAGTGTAACAAAGAGAAGATAAAGGGGAAGGATGGGTAACAAATATCTACATAGGGAACAAATGCCAGGCTCTTCAGTAAAGCCGAGGAAGGTATAACATGATCCAGTGACTGGAAGTTGCAGCTCGACAAATTCAAACAGAAAATAAAGCACACGTACTTTTTTTACAATGAGGGTAATTTGAACAGTTTATGAAGGGTCCTGTTGGATTTTCAATCACTGACAATTTTTAAATCAAGATTGAGTGTTTGTCTAATGTATTTTCTTTAGAAATTATTTTGGAGGTGTTCTTATGGCCGTATTATACAGGATATCAGACTAGATGAGCACAATGATCCCTTCTGGCTTTGGAATCTCTAAAGTTGTCATCTGCAGCATTGGGGATTCTGCATGCTTGGTTCCAGAAATGTCAAGCATGTGCTTGCATTGCTCACTGAAGAGCTGGTTGCAATGTGTTAATATTTATTTCAAATTCCAAGAAAAAAATTGCTAAAATATTCAAGTATTTACTTCCTCCAGCCTCTTTTCTACCAACTGTGCTCAACAGTAATCTCACTGGTTACCAGAGAAGTCTGAGGGGTAACTGCATCCTGTTCAATCAATCCTTGGCTGACAGATGGTTTCTACACAGTTGGGATGAGTTAAGTTAGGAGGAAGTATTGAGGTTCCACAGGGGTTGGCAAATGCCTTTCTCCCAAAAATACAGTGTTTAAATAATACAACATTTTTGCTGACTTTGGCCTTCAGCTGGGCAAACAAGAGGCACTCACAAATTCCTTAACTCTCAGAACTATTTTGAGAAATGCTGTGACCCAGTGGATAGCTCACTGCCTGTGGGTGGGTCAGAAGCCTTGGTTTCTATTCCTTTCTCTGTTATTGATTTGCTGTATGACCTCAAGCAAATAATTTAACTGCTCTGTGCTTCAAATTCCCCTTCATTCAGCCTAGTGAGAAAATACATATTGGTTTTTCTTTTTGCAATAAAGTGGAAGTAATAGTTGCACTGGAATCCAGGAATTCATGCATGCTAACCATGACAATTTACATGGTTGTTACTACGTTAACTTTTCTGGGCCACACTTATTCCATCTGTAAAACCAGAATAATAATATGTAACCAAGCTCCTCCTCAGCCTTGGTGGGCCCTTGGTGTGTCCTAGCATTTGGGAAGAATGCTAATCTCAGAGGCTCACAGCAGCTCTCAGTTTAGACACTTTCTCTAGGGCACCAGCTTGCTGTTTGTTGAGCCACTCTCATTGTTGATCAGCATGGGGAAAAGAAAGGAGACCAAACTCCATAGTCTCTGCTGCCCCTCCAAGTGGAACAGGGCAGGACAGAACCCTTTACCAAAACTGTTTCTTCTCTGGTGCTGAATTAGGGAGTTGGTGGTGAGGAAAACAGGGCCTGCCCTCTATACCAGGTTCCAGCCCAGGAACCCTGCGATACCAACTGACTGTAAAATGTCCAGTATTAGCTGCATGGTTGCTATGGTCCACTGGGTTATCCCACATGGTTCTCCCCAGCACCTTCCTTACTGCAGGCTCTTCCTCCTGGTACCTGCTTGCACTTGCTTTTCTCAGACCCTCCATGGCACCTTCTCTCCTTAGCGCCTTGCACACAGTGAGCTAATAGAATGGGAGCCCTTTTTAATCACTCAACTGGATCTTCATTGGCTTTAGCTGTCCTGATTAGGATTCTGGCTCACTTGATTCAGGAAGCTTCTTAATTGGCCTGACTGCCCTAATTGATTCTGGCAAGTTCCTGCTGGTTCTGGATTAGCCCTTGTTAGTTTACTGGGCTAAGATACTTCCCTTCTACTACTCTCCTGTAACCCTCCAACCTGAGCCTGTCACAAATATAATGTGTCACCATTTATGCAAACTTGCTCAGTGTTTGAAACAAGATTATGCCTTGCCCAATACTTCAAAAATTTCCATTGAATTCATTCGTTGTTCTCCATGATGATCGGGGTGGTCCCATGTGATCAGAAAAAAAGGTAAATACAGCATCCACCTTCATAAAAGGGAAGAAAGAGAATTCAGGGAACTACAGACTAGTCAGCCTCACATAAGTTCCTGGGAAAAATATGGAGCCAGATGCTCAAGGAATGCACTTTGAAACACTCGGAAGAGATGAAGTGATCAGGAACAATCAATACGGATTGATCAAGGGCAAGACAAGCCTGATCAATCTAATTTCCATCTATGATGAGATAACTGGCTCTTTTAATGTGGGGGAAGTGGTGCACATGACAGTACCTTGACTTCAGAAAAACTTCTCATATAGTCTCCCACAGTATTCCTGTCAACAAGCTAAAGAAGTATGGAAGAAAGGCCTATAGTGTGGATACAAAGCTGCCTAGATCATTGGGCTCAGTGATTAGTGATCAATAGCTTGATATCTACTTGACACCTGAAATCAAGTGCCCCATGGGTCAGTCCTGGGGCTGTTTTTATTCAACATCTTTATTAATTATCTGGATGATAGGATGGATTGCGCTCTCGACGACTTTGTGACACTAAGCTGGAGGGAGAGGTTAGTAGACTGCAGGGTGGAAATGGAGTTCAGAATGACCTAGAGAAATTGGAGGATTGGGCTAATCTGATGAGTTTCAACAAGAACAAGTGCAGAATCCTGCACTTAGAAAAAAAGAATTCCATGCACTGCTACTGGCTGGCTAAGTAGCAGTTCTACACAAAAAGACCTGGAGATTGCAGTGGGTGAGAAGGTGGATCTGAGTCAACAGTGTGCCTTTGATGCTGATAGGGAGTAATGCCACATTGAGCTGTATTAGTAGGAGAATTGCCAGCAGATTGAGGGAAGTGATAATTCTCTTTTTATTTGGCACTGGTAAAGCCATCTCTGGAGTATTGTGTCCAGTTTTAGGCCCTCCAGCACATTAAGAATATGGACCAATTAGAGAGTGTCCAGTGGAGGGCAACACAAATGATTAGCGTGCTGGGGCACATGCCTAATAAGACAAGACTGGGGGAAATGGGTGTATTGATCTGCAGAAGAGAAGAATGAGAGGGGATTTGATAGCAGCTATTACCTTATTTTCACTAAAGACCAACCCAGGGTTACACTTTTATTGCTTTTAATAAATGCCACTGTTAAATTAAATAGAAATGGGATTGAACCTGATCACACACATACATCCACACACTCATATACAAACAAACAACCCCTGTTTTGCTTTTTCTTAAAAGCTTACATTAACTCACTGGCCAGGCAAATTAAATGTGAGCGGAAGGAGCAGGGGCTTCTCTCGGTCTGGACCCATGCTCCGATCTTGACAAGACAAGACCTGGAAATTCCTACAAGACACCCCATGTTTCATTAGAATTTTCTCTCATTCTGTTTATCTGGGAGTTATTCTTTTCTCTGACATCAATTTGTTGGTGCTTCCTTCCCAGTGTTATTTCAAGGCTGTCTTGTTTGTAATGGGATGTTTGCCCTTAATACTCCAAGGTCGTCTATAATGTCATACCTCAGTCTAGTTTGTTTTGAGCCTCAATTTATGGCACCTTAATGCCTCTGAGTCTTCCATTCCCTTCTCCCCCTTCTTCCCCCTTCTGGACTCTGAAACTGTTGGGCCTACAAGTTGTTATTTCTCCAAACAATCACATTCACTCCCTCTCCCTAGGAACTACACACGTGGAGGAAAAGGAATACAATTGTCCATACAAAATGTATTAATCTACTTCCAATACTAAGCTTCTGCTAGTACAAAGTTTTAATCAGAGGGGTAGCCATGGTAGTCTGAATCTGCAAAAACAACGAGAAGTCCTGTGGCACCTTATAGACTAACCAATTTATTGGAGCATAAGCTTTTGTGGGCAAAGACCTACTTCGTCAGATGCATGTAGTGGAAATTCCAGAGGCAGGTATAAATATACAGGCATAAGAAAAGAGTACCAATCAAGAGTAAGGTTAGAGATAACAAGGTCAATTCAGTCAAGGACGATGAGGCCACTTCTAGCAGCTGATGTGGAGGTGTGAACACGAAGAGAGGAAAAATCCTGGATGCCCCATCATCTCAGGCATTGGCACTCTCACTGCAGGAATTTCTGGATATGTGGACTCTCTACTCAGACCCTATGCCACTAGCACTCCCAGCTATCTCTTACAAAACTTACATTCACATTATACTGAAACTTACATTTACATTATACTATATTGGGTGAAGGCTTTACAGAACAGCAGCCTTCAATTAGCTGAAGCAGGGTTCCAAAGAGATGAAGAGAGGCTGTTCTCAGTGGTGGCAGATGACAGAACAAGACCCAATGGTCTCAAGTTGCAGTGTGGGAGGTCTAGGTTGGATATTAGGGGGAAAAAAACTATTTCACTAGGAGGATGGTGAAGTACTGAAATGGGTTATGTAAGGAGGTGCTAGAGGTTTTTAAGGCCAGGCATAAAAAAGCCCTATTTAGAATAATTTAATTGGGACTAATCCTGCTTTGAATTGGGGGGTGGATTTCCTGAGATCTCTTCCAACCCTAATCTTCTATAATTCTATGACATTTGTTGTATAGTATTCTGTAGATACCCACTGATCTTGCGGGAAAAGGGGGTTTTGTGCAAAAAGAAAACATCCACACTGATTGTTTTTATGTAAAATCCCCAGTGCAAAAATGGATCGGCTGAAAATATGCAAATGAGATCACGACTCATTCAAATGAGTCCCTCATTAGCATATTTTTTGCCAAGAAAACTCATAGTGTAGACGTAGCCCTACTGTATTGTTTCACTTATAGGAGAACCAA